GTTACAGTGCACGTACTTAAAATTGGTGCAGCAGCTGCTTAGCTTCGACTTTCTTTTTGTTTTTGTGTATTTTTTCCAGTTGATTTCTCGCTCTCTGCACAAACATCAAACAACTTTTCACGTGCCTTTGCATAATGCTTGCACATTGGTCCGCCGCTGCTGCGCTATATTTGGTCAGCAGCAGCGGCACGTTCTTCGCTCAGGTCCTGGTCGCTGCTGCTGCTGCTGCTGCTGCTGCTTGTTTTCGCCTTGACTTTAATCATATTTCCATCAGAAACATGCTGCGCATATTGAACAGCAGCAGCAGCAGCAGTAACTGCAAACAAACATAAAACTGAACACATACATACACACCATTACTCTTTCTCTTGCTCTCACTCACTCCCTCTCGCCCTCTCTCTCTCTCTCACTCAGTTGCCTTCCATTGGCTTTTGTCAACATTGGGTAATTTTTTAATCTCCGGCTTTGAATGCAGCTTAAAGCACACAAGCTGCACATGACTTGACAGCTTTGCCTGATACCCTAACAAAGCGTTGTTGAGAGTGAAATACTCTTTAGCTTAAGCTAGAATTTGAAAAGTATTTAAGGTTCATTTATGCAGTTGAAGCGCTTATTTTCATACACCAAAATGGAATATATTATATTATTTTGCTTTATACACAATCAGCACCAACTACTCAAAGCATTTGGTAACTTATATAAATATGATGTGATTTTATTTTACGTGGGCTTATTGAATTTTAAGTATTATCTACTAAATATTTATAAGTTAGCGCAAAATTGAAAAGGTTTCTAGAAAGCTTTTAAAAATTTTATTTTTTTTAGTTGACTTAAAAATAAGATGGTTTTACTATCTAATCCTAAAATTTATATATTGTACTTTAATATATATAATATAATATAATATATAGTATACCCATATAATATGTAGCCGCAATTTATTCATACAATGCATTCAATATAAGAGCATTTCATAGTCGTTGTCAGCATACAACTTGGCAAACCTTTCACATTGTTGCAAAAATTTGCCAGCACCAAAGTCAACGTTAAAAGTTCTTTTAAAAAAATAAAACCTACACAAAATAAACAACGAAAAACTGAACTGAAAATAAAATGTAAAAAATAAGAAAGGAATTTCAAAATGGCGTCGTTATGCCACATATGAATGCAGCACGTACAGCCTTTGTTGATGGCAACAATGGAGCCATAGATCTGGCAACTCTGGCAGCAACTTGCCGTCAAGTCTGGCAACCACAATTGTGCAACTGCATTTGCTCGGCGAAAGTTTCTTGGATGCATTTTCATTGAATTTGTTTATTCGTTTCCGGGCAAATGTTGAGCTGCTAGTAAATTAACGTTAATTAACGGAAGTTTTACAGTAAAGTGCGCGACAAAGTGCTGCCACCTGAGGCTGTCCACCCGCCCTACCCTGTGCGCCGGCTCGTCTTAAGCTGGCTTAAGTTAAAGTAACTGCTTGTCAGTTGAAGTGCGCCCCTATAGCCGACAAATTAGCCGCCCCTGCATAAAAGTCGGTGGCAAAGGACTTGGCTAAGAGAGCACATGTGCTTCAGCTTTTGGGTTCAGCACTTTGTCGTTGCCTTTGGCTTTGGCTCTGCCTGCGGCCTCGACGACAACTCCAGCATCAGCCTCAGCTTTGGCTTCGGCTTCGGCATCGGCTTTTACATGCATTCAATGCGCTTTTTTTCGGTCAGGACAATGGAACTTATACTCGTCGCTTGCTTCCAGATATACTCGAAACACGCTCAACAATGCCCGACAAACAATTGAAATCTGTGTGCGCTTTGTTTTAGCCAGGCATAAAAAAGAAGAGAACGGGGGAAAAAATGAAAACCTTTAGCTAGGGGTTGTCGCAGTCAGCTCTGCTTTAAATATCTTCTACCCCTGCCTCGAGTCGTGCCCCTTGCAATTTGTACAGCTTTTTAATTAAGACCAGCCAAAGACAAGACCACAGAAAGGCATTAAAAAAATTGCGGAAAAAAATGTGAAAAAATGCTCAAATGCCCAGCCAAATGAGCCCCGAAATAAGGAATCCAGGCCAGGCGACTGACGAAGGACAATCATAATTGCGGAAGCGTACCAGGGTTCGAACTCCGCTAAGGACTCGCACAAACAATGCACTCGACTGAGAATTTACGCCTCGCTACCCGCTCTACATCTATCTCCCTTTCTTTAGTCTCTCTCTCTCTCTCACTCACTCACTCTCTCTGTCGCACTCTTTCGCCATTTGCTGTTGCTTTCCTGTATGTGTGTGTGTGTTTTTTATGAGAAATTAATTATCGCATAATTTTATGGCTCAGTGACATCTGAAGAGTTTCATTTACCACTTTTTGACAGATTTTCGCCCTCATTTCGAAATTTTGCATTTTTTATTTGTATTTCTGATTGATTGTGAGCTTGATTCTGAGAGAAATACAATAAGGGGAGGAGCTCGCAAATATGCGTCCAGGTGTCAACCGGAACCTTTATGTAGATCGACATTTTTAAATTAAAATTTATTATTGAACAAGCTGCAGCCATGAGTGTAAGGTACAGTCAAAACTGGCACAGATCAAACTTTGTTCAAAAATTTTTAAGAATTTTTGTATTCTTTTTTATATGATAAAATTATTAATAAGATTTAAAAATATTTTGCATTTCTTTTTATATAAATATTCCTATTATTATTATTATTTTATTTTATTTATATAAAATATATGTATATATTTTAATATATTTCAAATACATTTAAATATATATAAGACGCAAAATGAAATATCTATATCCTATATTTGAAGAGGAAGCGAAAATATGCTTCGATTCGGTTAAAGCTTCACTTTATAATAAGAGTTCATTCGAATTTGTCGCCGCAAACTGTTTTGCAGACATGATAGATGTCTTTCAACATAGAAAACCATCTTCAATCAAGACATTTATATTGAAATTGATATTCCCCATTGAAATCAATATACATACAAATTCATATATATATATATATATATATTATATACATATATATAGCTTAAATTCGACACGCTGCTGTATGTCTGTCAGCCCCCATCTGATTTAATGTCACGCCCACATTCTTGTGTGTACTTTTTTAGTCTACTCTTTCTTCTTCTTATTTCGCCCTTCTTCTTTGGGCATCATTATCAAATGTTGTTTGGTAAATCATTGCAAATGTTAATTCAATAGCTCAATCAGGAATCAGGAGTAGCCCCAGAGAGTAAGAGTGAAGAGGTATTTCAAGAGAAAGAGATGGTGAGGGGGAGGGAGAGGGGACACACAAAAGAACTGCGCCTAAGTTCAATGCCAAGTGCCCATTGTTATTGCTGTTGCTGTTGTTGTTGTTGCCGTTCGACTGCCCTTAGACTTGAGTATTTCGCATTTCGCATTGTACCCTCATCTGCCCTAGCATGCCCCTCCCCCCTCCCTTTGCTTGTCTTCTATTTTATCTGTTTGGCGCTTTGTGTTGCCTAGTGAATGAACAAAAAAACCAGAAAAAAACGAAGGAGAGGAAGACGAGCAAAAGACAGAAAATGTGCGATTTCTATGGAGATGCTCTCATTTTTGTGTCGTCCGCGTTCGAGAGGGTGTATGTGTGTGTGTGTGAGTGTGTGTATATGCGTCTTTTTGCGATATTCAACAGATGTTGTAATTGCTCATAAAACTTGATGACGCTGGCGCGTTTAAAGCAACAACAATAACGAGAACGAAAAGGAGAACGACGACGACAAGAGCTCAAAGAGCAAAAATATTCCAAGACTTTGCATATGGCAATGGGCAATCGGTGTGTGTGTGTGCGTGTTTATCTTGTTGTCTGCGCCTTTAAAGAAAATACACAACCATACACATTGTAGTTTGGCTGTAGGAGAAGAGCGTGTGTGTGAGCTGTTTGACATCAAAATTCATACGTCACACATTCAGATTTGCATATGCTTATTTACAGTTAAGTACTTGGCTTTCTCTTGCTTTTTACATGTATGCATTTATCTAAAGAGTTGGTCTGTTTCTCTCTTTCATATTTTCTAATTTGACTGTAAGCGAAACTGCAGCAATAGCCAATCACTGCTCGCTGCTCGCTGCAATACATACCAAGGACACAGCGCTCTCTTCAGCGCTACCTATCTCGCTCCCACTTCCGCGCGTTCCCTGTTGCTTAGCTGGGCAAATCCCATGGCCAGCGTTAACGGAAACATGCCGTTGACATGTGTTTTGCAAATGTTGCGTTGCCTCTTGTCTTAAATTTTGTGTTATTCTTTTAAGCACAAACATTTTTTATGCTCAAAACATACAGAGCAACAAAAACTGCAGGAATACATGTTCTCTAATGCCCGATAAAATGAAATGTTAATTAAATGTGTTTGGTTGCTTGGTAGTGCCATCTCTTTTCCACACACAAAGCAACAAGCGATCGGCAACGTCGCTGTCGCTGTTGACGTCAACGTCGCTCACTGATAAGGTGGAGAGCGTAGGTACAGCATGGAAACGAAACGAGCTTCTCTCGCGCTCTCTCTCTCTCTGTTCTAATACACTAACAGTTGGACTACTATGGTTGCACCTAGTCGCAGTCTCAGTATTGAACGCCAAGTCCAACCGGTGGCAGTTTAACACATATTTACGCAATTAAATAATTTAGCTACATGTCAGCTACTCGTATGCAAGCAGGGTATACAAAGTGCGGTGTGTCAAAATCAATTTGTTTGCGTTTCACTTCATTTCGTAGCGCTCAGTTCTTTGCAACGCTAAATTCAATTTCAATTGAGTTTTTCAACTGTGTTGCTGTTTTGTTTTTTCCTGTTCAGTTGTTGTGCGTCAGCGTTGGCGTGCGGAGCGACGGTGGTGGTCACGGCTGCTTAAGGATCTGTATGTGTGAATGTGTATTGGGTGTGCTGATAAACATTATATACACACATATATTTATGTATATGTACATATATAACAATTTGTATGCTTTATCAAGTGTCTTAGAACGAGAATTCTGTGCTCTATTCATTTAACAGCTATGGCCGTGCGACACGCGTTATCATTGGACACATAATTGCCCTCAATCGGGCTAAATGAAAACAACTCGTTGACGCCCCACAAATGAAAAAAACAACCGAAATAGAGAAAAAAATGAAAGAAATGAAATAATAAACTACGACTATTATCATCTATAAGTATCCGCACATAACAATTAAGCGCCCGAGACTCTTAATTGAAATGCTTCCAAGGCAAACAAATCAACAGCGACGGGACAGACGCCGACTGAAGCCCCAACAACAAATTGTGGCACGCAAATTGGAATTTCATTGCCGTCTTCTTCAGCAACGGGTAAGTTTTTTGACTTTCCATAACTGTCTATCTATGATATATGTGTACATGTGCGTATGTATGTCAATGTATCTAGCTTACTCATTTAGATAAGCTATGCTCCTTTTTGGCGCTACGCCTATGCCACATGGCCATCGTTAAAGTACACGTACTGTATGCATGTATGTTTATGGCATATGGAGCCCCTACTCATTATGCATACATACACACATACCTACGTACATATACCCACTTATTTGGTCGAGTAATACCATAAATACATATGCTTATCGCATCAGAAAATGCTCAGCGTTCAGTGCTGATAACACAATTTTACAAACAATATATATACCCACAACCACACACACACACACACATGCTTGTTTCACTCATTTTATATAGATTATAAAATTGTTTAAGTAGAAACTCTTTCTGATTGTTTCATAAGTGCTGCATGAGGTCAATGTCTTTGATCTTTAGATACGTCCTGTGCCAGCCAAATTAGTTTCGAATCACTCAGATAACTCAGATAAAAAATGATATCAAGCAGCCCTCTGCGTAGCCAACTACCCCAGCTCTGAAGCCCACATAAATAATTTCCTGGAAAACTGGATACAATAGAAAGAAAGCGAAAAAAACTATTCATAGTGAGGAGCTCTGCTTCTATAGCTCTTCTCCCTTATTCCTGGTTTTTATTACTTGTTCTAATTACGACAAAATATTATGCTTGGAAAACTATGTTGCATAATGCGAACTCCTGCTTTAGCGGCCACACCTTCAGGCATTTTGTGGAAACTTTGTTTGAAAAAAAAAAAAAACACGAAGGAAACGAAAAAATGGTATCCTTTTCACAGTAGCTGGCCAAACAGGATATTCGGGTTGTGTTCATTAGGCCAGGGCAGCGAGCTGCAAATTGCGTTGCATCAACTTTGAACTGCCCCTTGCCACAGATACCACAGGCAGCAAGGCATGTAGCGATTACCAAAAATACCAAATACCCTTCTAAGCAAGGGTTTTCAGGCTGGCTAGAGTTGAGGCTTGGTGAAGGAAAGAAAGAAAATGCTGAAAATATGGCAAAATGTATAAAAGTTGAAAACTGTTGGAAAAGTTAATGGAAATTCGATACGTTTGCCAAGGCAAGAGTCAGTTTTGAGAGAGGTTTTCCGCTATAAGTTTTTACCTGCATATACCTTGGCTCTATTACAGGGTATCTAGGTCAGTTGCCCTTTTGCTAAATATAGTTCATTTGTTAAAAATATTTTTCTTAGTTATTTTCATTTGTGAATCGTGTTGTTCTCTCGCATGTGTCATAAATTTCGCTTTTATCATATTATTTAATTTCGTGTTGTGCGGCGCGCAAAAATTAACGGAACACAAATACATGTGCATAAACAAATATATACATATATATGTATATATACATATGATATGTATGTTTATGTAAATATGTATATATGTATGGGTTTCTGTGTGCGCTATATAGAATAAACACTGTTCCAGTGGGAAATGATAGCGACTTGCACACACACACACACACACACACACAGAGCAGAGAGTAAGCAAATACATGTGTACAATCTGTATCTGTATCTGCAGCTGCATATGTACACATATGTAGATACATTTATATTTATATGTCTATATAATGCTCGTCGTGGGATTGTCTCTGTGTGTTGTTGCGCTTGTCGGCGTGGCATGCCGTAGCAATAACAGTTAATTTATTCCAATTAAGGGATTTTCCTGTTGAATATGCGACTCTTTCGCTATGTGTGCCCCCCACACACACTCACACACGCACACGCAGCGCCCCCTTTGCTGCTCCTACTCTGACTGCGCCCCTACTCAAACCCCTCAGCTGCAGACCCCTTGACATTTACAAGCTCAATTCGCTGTGCAGCTGCCCTGCTCCAGCCACTGCCTCTGCCCTTGCCCCCATCGCCCCTGTCCTGCTTTGACAGCTACCTTGCCAAATGAAATTGTCCAGCTGGCTGCCGCCTACCTCTCAGCGTTGCCTCGCTGTGGCAACGCCCCCTTTAGCTCGCGCTCTTTTGTTGAATTGTTTGCCTTTTGGGATTTTTTGTTGTCTGTTTGTTGTTGTTGTCGCTGTTGTCAGCAGCCTTGTCGCTAAATTTTACACACACACACACGTATATGATTTTTTCATTATATTAGAATGGCGAAAAAAATTAGCAACATGTCGCTGCTGTTGTCCTGCCTCCCGGAATATATATACTCATATATATATATTAATTTTTTTCTGGTTCTGCTTACTTAATCCTTGCGGGATTTGCGACACATGGAAGAGTCGAGGCGAGTTGCCAGGGATTCCTCCGCCTCTGCCTCTGCCTATGCCTTTGTCCTTGTGCTAATTTTGTGCCAGCTACCTGGAGAGCCACGCCCACTGCGCTACCCATCTAGCCCGCTGCGCGCTTTGTCTAATTGTATTTATGTATGTTTGCATTTGAAAGCTCCAGCTGTACGCATGTGGCGTGTGGCATGTGGCATGTAGCATGTCCATCAACATTTTTGATAAATGCCCAGAAAAAGCGTTTCAAATAAATAAAAAATTTAAACGGAAGCGAAATGTATACACATACACACGCGCACACACACTCAGCTTCGATTATTAAAATTCTAATTGAAATTCAAATGTGCGTCGCGTTTTTGTTGTTGTTGCTGTTGCTGTTGTCGCTTATCGCTCAAAATTGTTGGCGACGATGTCGCGCCGTCGTCATCACATTTGCCCCACTTGCCCCCCGCCCCGCACCGCCTCGTCGCCCCCTAGTGCATGCCCACTTCAACGGCTTCCGTCATGCGGGCCTCAGGAAGTGGACAGTTAAGCGCAGTCCGTTTCTCTTTGCATATGCCCTCTGCCCTATATGGTATATGGTAAATAGCTTCCCCATAGAGTCTACAAAACTTGCTGGAGGGGGCACAACAACTTTTAGCTATCACTGTTGCAGTCGCCTGCAAACGAGGCGCCCCAAAACAGTTTATTTTTCAACTTGCGTTGTTGTTGTGTTTGCCTTGGCGCTTGTCCAAAAGTCTCTTGCGATAGGCTAAATATCAAAAAAAGGCAAAATCACATTGAATCAATATGAATTGATTAAGCATATGGAAATTTTGATTTGTCTTTCACTCGAAAGGAAACGGAAAGATATAAATATGCAATAATATTGGCTAGCTTAAAACTGAGTTACGCATAGAAGAAAAGAAACTGGGAGAATGAGAAAGAAATTGACAAATAAACCATAAAGTTGATATAAACAAAGAAAAGAAATTTAATTCTTAGGAAAAAATTTAAATAAATTAAATTAATAATAAAAAATTAAAATCTAAGTTTTAAAAAATTAAAATAATAAATAAAATAAATACATAGCTTATTAAAAAGTAAATAAAAAAATATTTTAAATGAAATAAATTAATAAATTAATGAAATTTTATATACATTAATTCATTAAATTTAAAATTAAAAGTAAATATATTTCAAAAAATTTCATTAAAAAAAGTGATAACCAGAATGTAATGTGTAAAATAAAAAAAAAATTTAAAAATAAAATTAATTAAACTAAATAAATTAAATTGTAAAAATTTGTGGAATTTGACATTTTTTAAACATAATTCATTTAAGTATAATATTAATATTGTACATATACTTAAAGACATTATATATATAAGTCGAGCTGTATTTCCATTTAATTTCTGCAATTCTTAACTGCTGCAATTAATCAATGTTCGCCTTACATGGAATAGGCTAACTCATTAAGTTTTTTTTTTCTAGGGTTGCAATAGAGCAATTTCAACTTTTTTGCTTGCTACTTGATGTGGCATGCGTCCTCAAACTGTGTGTGTAGCTAGACGAGGTAATCTGTCAAATTACTCATGCAAATCACACGGCAAAATTTGGCTGCAATCGAAACGAAGCCCGCAAACCTCTTGCCAAGGGCTGAGCTACAGCTAGTTGTAGTTGTAGTCTTTGTTGTTGTTGTTGCTGTTGTTGCGGTGGCTGGGCACACATGTAATTGAGCCTGCGGTTGCTTGGCTCCGGCGTCCTGGAGGACGCCTAGGCTGCTGTTCGGTGGTGGATTTTCTTGGCCATTTCGCAGGCATTGGCCCATCAATTAAATTGACTTTGCCTGGGCGCAGTTGTTGTTGCTGTTGCGGCTCTGTCACAGTCTCTATGATTAATTAGCGTCTTAGTCTGACGTTTTTGCCAGCAACAGCAACAACTCGATTGCGGCCATTAAAACATTTCCAATTGATTGGCTGCTGCCCATGCTCCGTTTCGTTCTGTCTAAAGTCTGGCAATCTCATCTCTTGCTTCGATATCAATTATGCATGTGAATTGTCTGGTCGCACAGGGCTCTGCGGCACTCGACTCGCCGCCCAGCCCCACTTATCAGAGACTCTGCCCTAATCTTTGCTTAGCTGCGCGCACGACTTCCCTTCAATAAGTGCTACGAACCGAGTTCTATTTATGCTCAACTCACAACTGCTATTTGCATATGCGACTCTCTGTGTGTATGTGTGAGTGAGTGAGGGTGTATTTTCTACAAAGATAAGCAGCCTAAAATACACACACAACACACAAATCACACGCACACCCAATACAATTTGCTTATCTAGCGGCAACTGCAGTTGTAATTGCTTTGCTCTTAAGATAACTCGCAGTGATTGTCAAACTGAGTGGCCATGTGTATTTAAATATATATATATATATATATTTATATATATATGTATATATGTTATTCCCTTTTATCAGCTTTCAAGGGAAATGCCAGCGAGCCATTACTTCTTAATCTTATAATATTTGACATATTTGTGAAATACTTCAGCAGAAATTTGTCAAGCTACGATATAGAGCCTAACAGAACTGAGTTGCCTATACGAATATCTTGCTGAAACTGGAAACTGATGTTTCTCATAGTAATTATGTATATTTTTTGATAGCATAAGATTACTATATCTTATAGCTGTCATGGCAATGATTGATTTGTACTTGATAAACTTTTGAATTTTGA